GCACGGCATCACCCTTCGTGCTTTTACTCTCATCCTAACCTGATAATATAAATGAAACGGCACGGCATCACCCTTCGTGCTTTTACTCTCATCCTCACCTGATAATATAAATGAAACGGCACGGCATCACCCTTCGTACTTTACACTCTCCCTCACATGATAATATAATTCAAATGGTACGGCATCACCCTTCGTGCTTTACACTCTTCCTCACCAAGCACATGTATATCATTAACAAGCAAGGTAGGAAGCATAAATAATGTCAAGGAGAGTGTTTAATCCACAACACAATACAACAATTCATATCACAATTTGTCACTGACCATAATCAAGTTCCAAATGTGTAGCAGAATCAATAAATATCTCAATAAATAGCCCAAGGCTCCATACAACGTATATAAAACCTCAAAACAGTCAACATAGGTGAAAAATACTCAGTATAGGGCAACACCTTTATTAATCCACATTCTTAATAATTATATTAACTCCTCAATTTAAACTTATTTAATAAACATTTGCAGATATAAGCCCGAGTACGTACTCGTCACCTCGCATACACGGCTTCCAACCACACAATTTTCACATAAGACTCAATGCCTAAGGGGTAATTCCCTCACTCGAGGTTAGGCAAGATACTTACCTTTTTGAAGTTATGCCGATATTTTAAAATCGCCTTCTTGCTTGAATTGACCTCCGAACACCTCAAATCTATCCGAATTAATTGTACCACTTCATTAAAATTCATTAAAAATAATTTCGAATAATAAAATACCAAATTAAAATTTTATTCTAAAAAGTCAACGCGAGGCCCGCCCCTCAGAACCCAACAAAAGTTTTACGAAATCCGAACACCCATTCCGGTACGAGTTCAACCATACCAAAATTATCAAATTCCGATAACGGATCGCCCTTCAAATCTTAAATTAAATCTAGAGGATCTCTACCATTTTCAACCCAATTCACTAATTTAGTGATAAAAACAACACTAGATTCATGTAATTTAACCAAAATCAAGTTAGGAATTCTTACCCCCAATGTTTTCCTTGAAAAACTCTCGAAAAATCGCCTCACTCGAGCTTCCTTGGTCCAAAAATGGAAGAATGAGACGAATTTGGACTTTATTCTTCTGCCCAGGAATTTGTTCTTCGCGTTCGCAACCCTTCCCTCGCGTTCGCGATGAAAAATTCTCCAACAACCATTTTCAAACTCTTCTCAGACAGCCTCTAGTATAATGGTCATAACTTTTGGTACACAACTCCAAATGACAATGGTTTAACATTTTGGAAACTAGACTCAAAGGGCTATAACTTTCATTTATTGCTCATCTCCTCATTCCTTATAGATTGCGAGATATAATCTTCCAAAGTCAGCCTTGTGCAACAGAGATTCCCAAACTCTTCCCAGACAGCCTGTAGTGTATCTGCCATAACTTTTGATACACAACTCCAAATGACAAATGGTTTACCTTTCTACATACTAGACACAAAGGGCTACAACTTCATTTTTGGATCATCTCCAAATTCCTTATATATTGCGAGATATGAGTATCCAAAATCAGACTATTGCATCTGGGATTTCCTTCTTCGCGAACGCGAAGAGCAAAATCCCAGAAGTCAAATCCTTCTTCGCGAACGCGAGAGGCTCCTCGCAAACGCGAAGAACAACACCATATATCAGCAAATCAGCATCCAAAGTAGTCCAAAATGATCCGAAACACACCCGAGGTCCTCGGGACCTCAACCAAACATACCAAAGCGTCCCATAACATCATACGAACTTAGTCGAACCTTCAAATCACCTTCAACAACACCAAAAATACGAATTACACACGGATTCAAGCCTAATGAACTTAGAAATTTCCGAATTCTACAAATGATGCCGAAACCTCCCAAACCACGTCCGAATGACCTCAAATTTTGCACACAAGTCAGAAATGACACAATGAAGCTATTTCAATTTTCAGAATCGGATTCCGACCCCGATATCAAAAAGTCAACCCCTGGTCAAACTTTTCAAAAATTCATCTTTCGCCATTTCAAGCCTAATTCCACTACAGACCTCCAAATAATTTTTCGGACACGCTCCTAAGTCTATAATCACCACACGAAGCTATTGACATCATCAAAATTCCATTCTAGAGTCGTTTGCTCAAAAGTCAACTCTCCGGTCAACTCTCTACATTTAAGCTTCTAAATAAGGATTGTTCTTTTAATTTAATTCCGAATCTTCANGCACAATATATATATATATATATATATATATATAGGTCTTAGTCTAAATGATCCATCAATTGCAAGAGAAATAAGAAGAAGGCTATTTATTGAAAATTTCTCAATTTTTGTGGAAAGAACTTTTTGCCAAAACACACTACATCCCTTGCTTAAAAAAGAAATTGAAAAAACTTGAACAAAAAGGTTTTGGAAAAAGAAGTCAAATATCTCAAGAAATATTTCCACGTACAAACGCAAACAATTGAATGAGGCAAATAAAAAACTTGTAAAGAGGGAAAAACCAGTAGTCTAGATATGAATATATCAGTGCCACATTACCACATAGCAATCAATCATCACTTCACCAGAAAAGAAAACGACTCCTCAACTCTAACTGGAACGTATATCTTCTTTGGATTCTCTAAGATTATCATGTCCAAGTATGTGCGATTGAGTAGCTTTTTCAAGCATTTGTTTTTTTCTTCTTTTAACCATTTGGATTTTGGTGTTGGAATTTAGCAGTCTGCACAGAAAATGGAGCACAACCCACAAATCCAAATTCCAAGACTCAAATTGGGTACCCAAGGCCTTGAGGTAATTGCAAATATTTTAGCTCTGATTTCTATTTCCCATCGGGTTTTGAATAAATAGTGTTTTGATATTGATCTGCAATTACTGATCACAGAAGTTGTTTTTTTTGTGGTGACAACCAATTAGTTTTTCATGAATTTGTTTGGATCAGTATGTATAACCTAAAGTTCAATTAACTTAATTGCAGATGTATGTTTCATCTGACCAATTTTCCATTCTACTTGTTTTGAAGTTAAAGTTAGGTCTTGAAATTTTAGTAGTACTCTGTTTGTTTTCATTTCTGTATAGTAATAGATATTTAGGACTTTTACGTGAGAGGAGGAAAGAAGAGTATGCTACCACGATTATTTCTATATTTGATTGTATCATAAGTGAGTTTATCTTTAATGAATTCCGTGTGAGGTTATTTGATTGAAATTTAATGCCTTTACAGAGGCAGTGTTCATTGTTGCTCCTTCGTTTCATTTTCTTAACAATGATGAATCCCTTGAGTACTCTACCGCCTTTGGTTATACTTTAGTTATTTTGTATATGCCCAATTAACTCACTGTTATTTTCCTTGATTGTCCCATATCACTCTCCAACAGTTCACTTAACTGAGAGATTGCTACTCATAGATCGGATCATAAACTCCTTCAAACCCGGTGTTAGAGGGTAGTTCACATAGTATCATGGTGTGAGCTCCTATTGAATCCCACCTATGTAATATACTACTCCTATTGAAATTTAATAAAAAACTCTTTCTAACCCTTATTTCTACTATTGAAAGAAAGACTTTGGTTCTCAATATATGTGAACTGAGAAGAAAATAAAAGTCAAGGTTTACTTGTATGCTAGAAGCTTTAAATCTTCACCTGATCATTTTCCAGGTATCGGGTCTAGGCTTTGGTTGTGGGGGACTTTCTGGCATATTGAATGCTCCTTTGTCACATGAAGCCGGATGCTCTATCTTAAAGGAAGCATTCAACAAAGGCATCACCTTCTTTGACACAGCAAATGTATATGGTCATGGCGGTCACAATGAGATAATGGTGGGAAAGGTATGTTTCATTGATGAGAAAACAAGGCTAAGAAAACAGCACTGAGGTTGTAATGCATGTTGGATCAGTGCACTGTTCAATATTTTTATGTCAATCAATGCATCATCGTTCATTTGAAGATCTAGAATCAATATAATCACCCGATGTTGCTGAGACTTGTACCTATTCTTAAGCTGTCACATAAATAATGATTTTCTATTCGTAAATGGTCATTTTGGGATAATCAGGCACTGAAGCAGCTTCCTCGTGAGCAAGTCCAACTGGCGACTAAATTTGGGTGTATATTTTCTGAGGACTACCTCGAGTTTCAAGTCAAAGGTACTCCAGAATATGTCCGGCAATGCTGTGAAGAAAGTCTCAAGCGGCTTGATGTGGACTACATCGATCTATATTATCAGCATCGGACAGATACATCTGTGCCTATAGAGCAAACTGTAAGTATCAAGTTTTATCCATGTTATTGCCTCTGGTAGTTAATATGCTGTAGAGAAACTTGATTTTCTTGAATCAACTTCATGAGAAAAAAGATGGGGGAACTCAAGAAGCTAGTGGAGGAGGGCAAGATTAGGTACATTGGCTTATCTGAAGCCAGTGTGGACATAATTAAGAGGGCACATGCAGTTCATCCCATCACTGCTGTACAAATGGAGTATTCTCTTTGGACTCGTGAGATAGAAGAGGATGTAATTCCGCTTTGTAGGTATGTTCGAATTTGATAACTTTTCTACCTCTCAAAAATTAAGATATGATGAAGATCAACATTGTTGCATAATATGAAACCATAATTTGCTTTTTGAATTTCACTATTTTTTGTTTGTAGTCTTGGTTTGGTTATTGATCAAGATTTGATAGGTAGCAGAACAGAACTCCTCAATCTTTTTTAATATCTTCTCTGCCTCCTTAATATAGGGAACTGGGCATTGGGATTGTTGCATATAGCCCCCTAGGTCACGGCTTCTTTGGTGGGAAAGCAGTCACAGAAAGCTTGCCTGCAGAAAGTTTGATGGTAAGTAATTGCAGTAGTTGCTAGTATATGTTAGGTACCACACAGTTCCTCTCGGATTTATTTCCCTTAGATGAAGTATTCATCATTCTCCTTCTCTTGTTTGGTATAACTATCATAGTGCATAATAAATCTACAAGGGTCTGAAGAGTTGAGACTAAGTAACTGCATGGTCATCGCCAGTGTTTTAAAAGGCATTTTCGGGGCGAGCCCCGGGGCGATGGTATGGGGCGAAAGTCTCAAGAAGCGTACGCCCAGCAATTGGGGCCGTACGCCCGGGCGTTCGGGGCGTATGCCCGGGCGTTTGAGGTGCGTTTTTTTAGTGAGGAGTAAGCCTCAGAGACTTTTTCAAATTAAAACAAAATTTGTTTAATAAGTCCTTCATATAATACCCAAATTCTCAAAAGTCAGTTTGGTAATTACTCAAAAAGTTTAAAAAGGAACTCAAAAGTATTAAATTTAAAAGTCAAAGACCTTTTTTATTGATTGAAGCCCTAATTCATGGTCTTTCCCAATTCTTTATCTTGTGCGCTAGTCTGCTAATATCTCCCAAAAGCAACAAATATTTAATTTTTTTTACAAATACAAAGAGAACTCCATTCTCCTTCATAGCAGCAAGTTCAAAGTTCAAATTGCAGGTTAATCATCCTTTTTGATCCTCCATGTAGAAAAATTTATTCTTTTAGACTCAAGTTACTTGTGCTTGTAAGTAGCATATAATAGATTGTTTTGACTAATTTTTTGTGGGGATGAAGCGCGCGCGCGCGTGCACACACAGACANGCAATTTTACCTGTTTATAAATATTTACTGTCATTATATTATTTTATAAAATATTAAAAATTAATTACCTATGGGGCTTACGCCCTGTGCCTCGGGGTTTATGCCTCGCTGAGGCATATGTAAAATGCCTCGTCTTACGCCCACGCCCTTTAAAACACTGGTCATCCCTCATACGTCACCTCTTCTTTATTCCAGCAAACTTAGTCCGAGATATGGATGAGTTAGTTCTCTATATAGAATTAACTAGTCCTCAATCTCAAACTTGAATATGAATCTTCTCTGTTCGTTCTGCTTTATAATTCAGTCTTCTTTCATTCCAACACTAGCTTATTGTTTTTATTTATTGAGACAAATTATGGGTTCTCTAAATCTCATATTATCCGCACAAGGACTTGTATCTCGACAGGAAAATACACGTCCCGAAAAAGAATAAAGAGACTCCTAATAAACACTGGACTTGCTGCAAGTGTAACAGCAACAACTAAGCCAAAATCCCAACTACTTCATATAGCTTATATGGATCCTTTGCTTCTATTAGTTCTGTACTTAGTAATGTCCCTGTTGGTTCAAAGAAATTGTATGTTTTTGAGATAATCACCCCCATGTTAATCTATGTCTACTTTGTCAATTTTATTACCTTTAATCATCACAGTGTCTCACCCATGTATCTGCGCATATGGAGGTCTACATAGAGCATAACCAAACCATCTCATGACTTTCTCTCGTTTTCGCACCCTCCATTGAACGTGATCTAATTATATCTAATTTTTTAAGAGTCCATATCCATCTTAGATATGAATTTCAACGGTATATGGTGTGATGTTGGACCTGAAAGCATAACTAAGTACTCTCATATTACATTATTGGTCTCATACCATTTTAAATAGCTTGTTTTCCGCTTTGTTAGTATCTTCTTATTGCATAACACTCCTCTAAAACTCCTTATTTCATTCTACCATCTATTTTAGTTCTATGTGTTGAATCGGCATCTATTTAAATTGTCTGCATTTAGACACTAAAATATATGTTATGTGCAAGGTTTGGTAAACATGAATGGAAATACTGGGAGTTGGGTTAATGTTATTTCACTCTCTGTTTTGTTAGGGTTCGCATCCAAGGTTTAGTGGAGAGAATTTGGAGAAGAACAAAGCACTGTACTCAAGATTTGCTAACTTAGCAGCAAAGCATAGTTGCACACCTCCTCAACTAGCTTTATCGTGGCTTCTGCATCAGGGAGATGGTGTGGTTCCGATACCTGGTATGATATACCTTCTTCATTCACAAAAGTTTATACAGATAAAAAGGGCAGCCCGGTGCACTAAGCTCCCGCTATATGCGGGGTCCGGGGAAGGGTCGAACCATAAGGGTCTATCGTACGCAGCCTTACCCTGCATTTCTGCAAGAGGCTGTTTCCTCGAGATGTAGTTAGAATTACATTTTCTATCAGTTAATTTAATTTCTTTCCTCGAGATGTAGTTAGAATTGTTAGATTCTTGGTCGTCGGACCAATTTTCTGTTGATGGTGTTTCTTTGTTAACTGCAATATGTTCATATTAGGATAAAGCATAATTGGTGAAGAAATTAAAGAATTGGTTTTTGATTATCCTCCTCTTTGATTAGGTGAAAATCTAGTCTATCGGCATACTGTCTGACCTTTCATACAAATTTGGCTAATATGTTGCAGGAACAACAAAGATTAAGAACTTAAATGGCAATGTTCAATCCCTAGCAGTGAAGCTTACACCAGAAGATGTGAAGGAAATCGCGGATGCTATCCCTGTTAGTGAAGTCTGTGGAGAAAGAGAGCATGAAGTGATGTCCAAGTACGAGTATCGGTTAGCTAATACACCGTTAAAGCAGTAACATCACGTTTGTGATAAGTCTTTATGGAATTAATCACCATCTCATTTAATAAATCAACAATTCTGTTTTCATTAAGTTGAGCTTATCTTGTAGATGTCCATGTATTGTTACCCCTTGTTGATGCGCATATCAAAACTAATTATTATCCAAGCCAAAGCTATCCTTTGCCAGTTGCTTGATAACACATATCTTTTGTGCTTGATTTTAAAATACATGAGGTGTATTTGCCGTTGAGTCATATTGCAGCGGTGTTCAATGTAATTTACACTGATACAAAATAAGGTAATTTGTATATTGTGGCACTTTAATGTTCATATTCCATTATTACGTACTGTTTTTGTTGCTGTTATTATTGCGGTGGTGTCGGGCCAATTTGTGTTATTCTACAGCATATTTTACATTCCCTCTCACCGATATAAGTACCAAACAACTGCATTCACCAACGCTTAGACAAGTGGATAAGAAAAAACCTAACTTGGCATGTTTTGGCCAAACTTCTAGAAAGTTAGAAACAACTGCATCACCCGCTTAGCATGTTTTAGCCGAACTTCTAGAAAGTTAGAAACGATTGCATTCACCAACGCTTAGACAAGTGGATAGAAAAACCTAACTTAGTATGTTTTGGCCAAACTTCTACCAAGTTAAAAGCACTTTTTACAATAATAGTATTTTTTTAAAAATTTGAGGTGTTTGGTCAAAATTTGAAAGTGATTTTGGTGGGAAGAAACTAATAATTTCATTTTTTTAGGAACTTAATTATTTGAAAAGAAAAACAAAATTAGAAAAATAGTGGACTTTTTCCGATGATGGATCTTCTAGATAGTTTTCTTGAGGGATTAAAGTCTTAACAAAACCACAATCTATATTATATTTAAAGCACGAAGGCCCTTAGAGAAATGTCGTTCGCCTTTTTTACCCCTTAAAAATATATTTTATATTGGATTAAAATGTAATTTAACTATTTTTATAATATTTAGGACATTTAAATCAACTAAAATTTTGGTTATTAAACTTTTCCTTATTTGAACTATGTATGAATCCCTAATATTTAGGATAACTAAACAAATTAAGATTTTACCTTTTATAAAAAAAATTCTAAAACCACTAAGATTTTATTTTTATAGATCATTTCCGGGGATAAAGAATATTATTTACCCTATGTAGTTGAAATCTCCATGTTTGCGTCATGTATTGTATATTATGACTTAAATAGTTTGAATCTTAAATTGAGCAAATAATTATAGGGAGATTGGTTAAGAAAATAGAGTGACCCCGCAGAAGTACAAATATCTATAATCAAGTAGACATTATATAGGACCTAACAAAATTTATATAGGACCAATTATATATTAGATTAGAGTAGAATTACTCAACTTTTTATTCAAAATAATTCTTTTTAATTCTTTTTTCACCGAAGAATTTTTTTCAATTTTCTCCATGGTATTTAGGAGCTTTAATCAAATAAATTTGTGCATAAAATTCTTCCTTATTTTAATCATAGAGAAAGTTTCAATATTAACTATCTTGTATAAATCCATTTCTTATTTAAATTATATAACGTATCAATTTAATAAAAGACAAGTAATTCCAAAAATAAAAAAAAAAATCCACAGAATAAGTAAGAGTATAGCTATTGTCTTTTGTAGGTTTGAATTGTTCTCTTTCATAGAATTTATAACCAATTAATTTTATATAATTTAATTACCTTTGTAAACAAAAATATAGAAAGACCAAGTAGAAAACTATTCAAAGTCGACAGTATCGGTCGATACTCCTTTGATTTTTCTTATTCTTAGTTATAGAATTATAGTCATCGTAGAATTAAACTCAATCAATTCTATATGATTTAGTTATCTTAGTAAAATAAAAACTAAAAAGAAAAATAGAGAAAGATTTTTTGTCAAAAATTATGTTTATTCTTTAGTCAAACAATTCTTGTATAATTACTATAATTATATATAAGTTATCCAATAACTATAGTTATTATATTCCTTAACTCAATATCAGCTTTTTAATTTATAAATAACACTTAACAATTGCACATCACATATGCATAGCTTAAAAATATTTGTATAAATCTTTAAAGTTTATATTTATTGAGATGGGATACACACGCAAAGTGCGTACTCTAAGACTAGTTTTAAAGAAAAAAAAAAACCAAAAACATGTCTTTTAGCTTTGTTTAGGTAGTAATAACCTCTTCTAAATTTTCTTTATGCCTTGGTTCTTTTCCGTGGGATGTAGCTTGAACCGTGTAGTTCTTTTAGAGTAGATTAGGACTTAGGAAATAAAAGAGAAAGAGTGATGTGATTCCTTGGCGCCTTTGTAATGACCTGACCGGTCGTTTTGAGCATTCACATTTCATTCCGTACGGTGGCTTAAGGTCTTGAGTAGCTTCATGTGATGCAGTATGACCTGCCTATATAGTCAGTTTTGATTTTCGAGTGGAACAGATTAATTTGAAATAATGATTCTCATTTTAGAAGCTTTACGTTGAAAGAGTTGACCAAGTTTGACTTTTATATATTTGATCTTGTATCGGAGTTTTAATAGTTCCGTTAGGTCTGGATGGTGATTTTGGACTTAGGAATATGTTTGTATTTGTATTCGAATGTTTCTAGAAGGTTTTGGCTCAAATTGGCGAAAGTTGGCAATTTGAAGATTTAAAAAGTTCATAGGTTTGACCAGAAGTTGACTTCAATGTTATCAGGTTCGGACTGTTGTTCCGGAAATTAGAATAGTTTAGTTCTGTTTATTTGAAACTTTTGTGAAAAATTTGAGGCGATTCCTAGTTGTTTAGACGTGTTCGACGTAAGTTTGGAATTTGAAAAGTTAAAAATTCATTAAGCTTGATTTGAGGTGCAATTCATGGTTTTGATGTTATTATGTGAGATTTGAGGCATCAACTAGGTCCGTGTTATGTTATAGGACTTGTTGGTATGTTCGGACGGGGTTCCGAGGGGCTCGGGTGCATTTTGCAGTAGTTTCGGACCATTTTTGTTGTGTTGCATTGCTAGTTTTTCTCATGAGTCTGATAAGCATTGCGTTTACGATCAAGCTTCCACGTTTGCAGAGAAGAAATGTGGCATACGTGAAATTTATGCATAGCATTCGCGATATGGGACCGCGTTCTTGGAGTGATGGAAGAGGTCGAGCTGAAGGCTAGCGCGTTCGCGACTGGTGCTCGCATTTTGCGATGATGTGAAACCAGTTGGCCTTCACGTTTGCAGGATAGAGGGCGCATTCGTGAAGAGGTTTTTGGAGGCAGGGCAGTTTATTGCTTCGCGATTGCGACGGTACAACCGCAATCGCGTAGGGTATTGTTGGGTAGTGCATATAAGATATTATATTCGAAGGTTTTACTCATTTTATCATATTTTGAGATTGGGAGCTCGGATTTCAGTGATTCTTTAGGAGATTTTCTCCACTTGGAATGGGGTAAGTGCTCTTGACTATTATTCATGGTTATATCTTCGATTTTGTTATTTGATTGATGAATCTAAAATAGAAATTGGGAGTTTTTGTCAAAAAAATTTCTAAATTGAATAATATGATTTTGAAAATTGATTCGGAGTTGGAATTGGATGAAACTTGTATGGTTGGACTCGTATTCGAATGGGTTATCGGAATTTGTAAGTTTTGTTGGGTTCCGAGTGCGGGCTCGAATTGACTTTTTTGTTGACTTTGAGTATTTGATTAAAGATTCAGCCTTTATCGTTTGGGTTTGATTCCTATGGCATTATTGATGTTTTTGAGTTGATTTTTGCTAGATTTGGGCCTTTCGGAGGTCATTTCGCGTGGGAAGGCATTTTGGAATATAGATTTGGTTTGTTTAAGGTAAGTATCTTACCTAAACTTGGTTGAGGCACTAATTGCCTAAGTTATTTGTGATAATTACGTGCCATGGGTGGCGCACATGTGTGGGGTTGAGACCATGTACGTGCACCGGGGTATTATTAATGCTCAGTGTAGTGTTTAGGCTATGATATGCCTTGGATTGATTGCTAAGCTTCATACTATGATGATTCTTGTATTTGTACCCTTGTTGTGAGCCATCTGAACCATGTTTGAGGTTTCATTGAGGTTCATCTCCTAATTGAACCTTAAAATTGATACTTTCGTGATGTATTTGCCTGATTTGAGATATGATAGCACACTTTGTATATGCATACTCCTTAGCATGTTACTTATACACTTCTAGGGGTATAAAAATTGATATTCATTGATCATGTACATGTATTCTTGTATATCTGCATGCAGTGTGATATGGATTAGACTGGTAGCACGTGACCACGCCGTGCGGATTGTGATTATGAGCACATGACCATGCCGTGCGGCTTGTGATTTTGGGCACATGAGCACGCCGTGTGAATTGTGATTATTGGCACGTGAGCACGCCATGCGGGTTGTGATTATTGGCACGCATCCGTGCAGTTGATATTATTAGCATGTGAGTTATCCTGTAGATCCGAGATATTATTATTATTGGCACGTGAGTTGTTCGTGCGGTTGATATTATTAGCATGTGAGTTTTATGTGCAGCACGTGAGTTGTCCATACAGATCCGAAATATTATTATTATTAGCACGTGAGTTTTCTGTGCAGCATGTGAGTTATTCGTGCGGTTGATATTATTAGCATGTAAGTTGTTCGTGCAATACGTGAGTTGTTCGTGCAATATGTGAGTTGTCCGTGCAGTGTACGGATATGGATCTATCTCCCTAGGGTCACCTTCTCATGTTCTCTCTTGGTGGTGTACACACGGTTTGAGAAAAACTGATCAATGGTTTGGTTCGGATTTGGTATTTCTGAGGAAAGACTGATTAGTGTTTGATTTGGTTATTGCATTTCATTTGTACTTGAAATTTTTCTTGGTTGTTTACCTGATTTATTTACATATTTTTTTTATATGCTGGATTGTTGACTGAGCAAAGTACGTTAAGTTATTGTGTGCACCAAGGTGATTTTGTTTGTGATTCATGACTTGATCATATTATTGTTCTGTACTTATTGGAATTATAAAGTGTACAGGTGATTAGCGAGTATCATTTATAATTCTTGCTTTTATTACCTCGCTGAAGTTAGTTATGATACTTGTTGAGTACATGTGATCGGTTGTACTCATACTACGCTTTTGCACCTTGCATACAGATCTTGGAGCTGAGTTGTTGTGGATGGCAGAAGTTGGCATTGAAGATGTACCTGCTTTCCGGATATAACTACCACTTGTCCTTGGTAGCTTTAGACTTGTAATCTGTTTACGTATATTCCAAATAGATATTGTATTTATTTTCATACTAGCTTTGTAATTCTAAGTATCAGTGCCTTATGACTTGTACTACTAATCCTTGGGTTATTGTATAAAAATTCAGTTATTTCACTTATTGATTTTCTTATTATTTTCATTAGAATTGTGTTGACTGATGTTTGACTTACCTAGCGAGTTGAGTTAGGTGCTATTATGACTAGGTAAATTTTGGGTCATAACAAGTTGGTATCAAAGCTCTAGGTTCATAGGTTCTACAATTCATGAGCAAGTGTCTAGTAGAGTCTTACATATCGATCTGATGACGTTCATACCTATCTTCGAGAGGCTACAAGGCATCTAGAAAACTTCCCATTTGTCTTTCTTATCGTGCGGCTTTGATTCAGCTTGAAGCGTATATCTTTGATTTCCTTCCATCCACTCATATATTATATTGAGCAATCGATATCATTTGTGCACAACGGTTTGTGATGTCATGGATGAGGTGCAAGAAGTGTTCTCTATGTTGTGGAGATAAGCCAGTTTGGAGGACTTGAGGCCAGGTTTAGACTGCAGCTTGGACTCGGTGGTTTCAGTTGTGTGAGTATGTGCTTTCAAACTTATATGTCTGGTATTGTCCCTAGGAGTGATATTGATAGCTCAGTGAGTGATTAGATAGTTATATGATGAGTATTATGTGACCGAGGACTATGCTTAGATGATTTGGATGTGACCTGAAGAGTTTTGCTTAGGATGCGAAAAGGCTATGGATGCTTGATTTCTGTCTTGATGTGTTGTACAACCTCGAGTTATGAGTGTGTTGAGGGATCTTTTATGTTGCTCATTTGTGGAATGAAGTAGATTCTTATGTCTTGTGGAGGATTTTAGACTCGGAAAGATTAAGTGATCTCGTAGTGGTTATGACAATGATAGGGTCATAGAGAGATGCCAATTTGAGGCTAAGCAGGTGGGTTATCTCATGCGGGATGTTCTGTAGTTGTGTGATCCTTATGATGTTTCTATGAAGAGTTCACTTTTTATCAAGTAGGATGTATGTGCTAAAATTAGAGTACGGATTGCTCGAGGATGAGTATACATGTGGCAGACGGTTTGGAGTATTTTATGGCTAGTGCTACATGGGCTTATGAGGGATTCAACTAGGGTAACAGTACGAGATCATGACAGTTATGAAGTAAGGGTATTGTGGGTTATCAGATGTTAAGTTCTGTAGCTTCGAGCCAAGTGGCGGAGTTTATTAGCGCCGATCAAATTGCATGGTCATGTGTTATATTAGTTTTGGATTGAGGCATACTTGCAGATCAATTATAACTTGAAGGGAGCTAACTTCGAGGATGACTCGAGCAAGAGAATTGCAGGGTGCATGATGTACTATATATACTTTATAGGCAAATGGAAATCTAGAAATGATTTAGGATTGATACTGATTGTGGATGTAATGTAAATGTAGAAGGGATTCACTCGGTTGCTTAAGATGGGGTTGCTTCTTAATGTGTCTGTGTGTTAATGGAGCACAAGCCGTTCGGCTCGTATTGGCGGTGCATGAGAGATTGGAGAAGAGTGGAGACTCCCGAGAAGGTTCTAATGAGTTCAAGATTCATATGTGGCGTTTGAGGATCTCCCGTATTTGTATATAGCTAAGATATGGGATTTGCACTGGATGGTGCTGAGACTTGTGGTATTTCTATATCATTGGTGGTTCTACATTTTGGTATTAGAGAGTTTAGAGAAGCAACTTCAGATTCACAAAAGGTTTCTTTGGAGTGGGTATCTCGGCTGCGGTACGATTGGTTCTTAAGAGGGGATAGAGTGGCGTATGGTCTTTAAGACGACATGGTTTCATGCTAAGATCTCGTGTGGTGAGATTTTGGTTAAGGGTCATAGTGTACTGGCAAGAAGAAGTGTTAACTTGAAGGCAAGTGGAGAGGGACTCGAAGAAATAGGTCAGCTTGGTAGTGGTTTGGGTCAGCATAGCAATAGAATTGATCGGTTCTTTCGGTGCAGTGAGGCTTTAGAGGTGTTCTATAACAATACTCTTGGGTTTGGTGGCATGTGTGTCTTGGTTGAGTTAGAGGGATTTAGTTCTGATGGCTCTATTTTGTGCTAATGGGTTTCGAATAGTTCTCGATGATTTCGACCATGGCTTGGGGTAGATGTTTTCTACAAGCATGAGGAGTTTGTTGCGTGTTGTGATTTTCTCCTGGGTAGGGTCAAGTGGGAGATTCCTGGTTGATGGGGTAGCTATCCTACTTGTGATTCAGAGCTGATAATGGGATTCTTGTGTTCTCATATGATGGCATGCAAGATACGGTGTGACGTGTGGGATTGAGGTTTGCATGTACAAGGTTGTGGTTCCATTTCGAAGAGGAGGTCATGAGTTCTAAACAACATGGGTAGTTTTAGATGCTTAGAAGAATGCTGACACTATTTGGTATCACCTAAGAAGGGTGCGCATTTCCAAAAGGCACACTATATTTTGACTTGCGAATGGTTGACTGGTATTACGATAATCGTCAGGTTATTGGTTGTTGATGTTCAGATTTTACTACATGGTGCGGAAGATTCACGGGAGTGTTTCCCGTGAGGTGATTGTTACGAGGGATGTTGTCAGATTTCCCATGAGGTGATTGTTACGAGGGTTGTTGATGTTCAGATTTTACTACATGGTGCGGAAGATTCACGGGAGTGTTTCCCGTGAGGTGATTGTTACGAGGGTTGTTGATGTTCAGATTTTACTACATGGTGCGGAAGATTCACGGGAGTGTTTCACGTGAGGTGATTGTTACGAGGGATGTTGTCACGACCCAAAATCTCACATGTCGTGATGGCGCCTATCTCAATACTAGGCAAGCCGACAATCTCAATAAACCACCATATTGTTTAAATTTGAAAACATAATTATTAAATTCAGCGAAAGAAAACCTCACAAACACAAATATAAACACTCCCAAAACCTGGTGTCACTGAGTACATGAGCATCTAATATGAATACAAAGTCTGACGGATAAAAATTATTGTCTGAAAATATATAACAGTACAATAATTAAACAGGAAAGGAATCGAGTGTGCAGACGTCAAGCAGCTACCTTGATAGTTCCCAACAAAATTAACTTCGAAATCTAGCAGCCGCCGTATTCGGGAGCACCTGGATCTGCACACGAGGTACAGAGTGTAGTATGAGTACAACTAACTCAATAAGTAACAAAACTAACCTCTGGGCTGAAAGTAGTGACGAGCTCCGCAGGTACAGTCCAGTATAAATAATGGTACAACAATATAGGCATGCTTTCAAGTTCAACAGTTAAACTCAGTACAAGTGAAATAGATCAATATTGCATGATATGAGAAATACGACATCTCACTAGAAAGACCTCAAGTAAATACCGGTCACTAATTATTCGGTCACTCGGTACTGTTTATGGCCAATCCAGCCCAGGGGTATTCCAACCCGTATATATATATACACATCGACTAACAGTCAGTCATTCAGTACCGTATAAGGCCAATCCAGCCCTAGGGTAATTTATTCCCAAATGTAAATGATACGGACAAGATCCATGTCCAGGTAAATTCATTACAATATAAATAAGTAAGGCAAGTTCATGCCCTGGGAAATCCATCCCGAATATATATAATCATCTACGCTCACTGGGGGCATGTACAGACTACGGAGGGGCTCCTCCAGCCCAAGCGTAATATAAAGCCGATATGGCCTACTGCAGGCGGGTAGTCCCGATCCGTATAATAAATAAGCCTTTAAGGCATGCTGCAGGCGGGCAACCCCGATCCATATAATAATAATGCCAACAAGGCCTGCTGCAGGTGAGCAGCCCCGATCCATATAATAATAAAGCCAATAAGGTCTGCTGCAGACGGGCAGCCTCGATCCATATAATAGTAAAGCCTATAAGGCCTGCTGCGGCGTACAACCCGATCCCATAATAATAATAATAATATATATAAAGCCGATATGGCCTGCTGCAGGCGGGCAGTCCCGATCCCATAAATATTCTCACAATGGATGAGCATGACTGAGTACGAAATGTATAATTTAAAATAATTAGTTTAACAGCAACACGACCCCATGGGTCCCAAAATATCGGCACGTAGCCTAAACATGATCTTTAATAAGAGCCTCGGCTCAATTTCTCTAACACGTGGGAAATGTTCAGATAATAACATGATTCTTTAATTTTTACAACTTCACAGAATTTATTCAAGTCACAATTTCAATGGTGCACGTCCACACACTCATCAACTATCGTGTGCGTCACCTCAAAATAATTTATATAACTCCAACTCGGGGATTCATACCCTCAGAACCAAGTTTAGAAGTGTTACTTACCTCAAACCGTGTAATTCTTTACTCTGCTATGCCTTTGCCTTGTGAATTGGCCTCCAAACGCCTCGAATCTATCCACAATTAATTCGATTAAGTCAATAAAATTTATTAGAATTAATTCCATAAGAAAATACTATTTTTTCAACAAAATCCGAAATTTAGCTCAAAAACTGCCTGTGGGGCCTACGTCTCGGAATCCGATAAAACTCACAAAATTCGATAACCCATCCAATTACAAGTTCAACCATACTAATTTCACTCGAATCCGAATCCGAATCGGTGTTCAAATCTCGAAAATTTATTTTATGAAATTGTAAAAATTCCTCCGATTTCTCTTGAAAAATCAATAATCTAAAGCCAATAATGAAGATTAATTCATGGAATGTAATCACAAGGGAGTCAAGAACACTTACCCCAAGTTGTGTGAAAAATTTCCTCTCCAAAGTCGCCCAATCCGAGCTCCAAAATTTGAAAATGAAAAAGAAACCAAAACCCATAATTTTATCTTCTGTCCAGTCATTTACTCTTCGCGATCGCGAAGCACAAAAAATTTCAGCCCAAAATTTGCCTTTCGCGATCGCGGAAAATGCTTCGCGATCGCGAAGAACAAGTGCCCAGCTCTTCCAGACAGCCTCTAGTATAATAGCCATAACGTTTTGTACAAAACTCAAAATTACAAATGGTTTAATATTCTGAAAACTAGACATCAAGGGATATAACTTTCATTTGTTGCTCACCTCCTAACTCCTTACAGATTGAGAGATGTAAGCTCCCAAAGTCAGCCCTGTGCAATAGAGATTTTCAAACTCTTCCCAGATAGCCTGTAGTGTATCCACCACAACTTTTTGTACATAACTCCAAATGACAAATGGCTTATCTTTCTGAAAACTAGACACAAAGGCTACGCCTTTCATTTTTGGATCATCTCCAAATTCCTTATAGATTGTGAGATATAAGCTTCTAAAGTCGGGTCAGTGCAGCAGGATTTTCCTCTATGCGATCGCGAAAAGGCTTCCGCGATTGCGATTCACAATGCCCAAACAGCAAAATTGCTCTTCGCGATCGCGACCATTTGTCCGCGATCACGATACATACCTCTGTGGCCAAAAACCAACAACTAAGAATGGCCTAGAAATGGTCCGAAACCAACCCGAAACTCACCCGAGCCCCTCGAGACCTCAACCAAATATACCAACAAGTCCTAAAATATCATACGAACTTAGTCGAAGCCTCAAATCACATCAAACAATGCTAAAATCATGAATCGTGTCCCAATTCGACCTTAATGGACTTTGAAATTTCAAGTTTTCACAAACGACGCCGGAACCTATCAAATCAAGTCCGATTGACCTTAAATTTTGCACACAAGTCATAAATGATATAACAGACCTATTACAATTTTCAGAATCTTATTTCGACCCCGATATCAAAAAGTCAATCCCCGGTCAAACTTTCCAAAAATTTAACTTTCGCCATTTCAAGCCTAATTTCTCTATCGACCTCCAAATAATTTTTCGGACACGCTTCTAAGTCCAAAATCACCATACGGAGCTATTGGAATTATAAAAATTCAAATCCAAGGTCGTTTACACATAACTTCACATCCGGTCAATTTTTCTAACTTAAAATTTTTAATTATGAGACTAAGTATCTCATTTCACTCCGAATTCCCTCCGGACCCGAACCAACTAACCCGGTAAGTCTTAAAATGAGTGTAAAGCATAAATTGAGCAGTAAATGGGGGAACGAGGCTGTAATACTCAAAATGACCGGTCGGGTCATTACAGATGTATTAGTCATTTGAGTGGTGGAATTGGGATCAGATATGGAGATTTTTGTATTCTTGGGATTTAGAGACTCGGAGTTCTTAGAGGTAGATTATTCTGTTGTTTTGGATTTAGAATATATGTTAAGAGGTTGACAATTTATGGTATGTGTTATAGATAGGTTATTGTGGACATTTCGGAGGTTATCTACCGATTTTAAAAAGATCTGAATTGATTTGGAGGCCACTGGTAGGTCTAATGAGAATGTGTATTCTACATCGGGTCGAATTTGCTTACTCCGCATAACTATTGTTGAGGGATATTGTAAGGCCCCGTAAATTTTTTCCTAAAAATCGGGATTTCTGTGATGCCGAAGTAAGCGTAGAGGATAATAGTAGTAGAAGCTCGCCACGATTCGGAGTTTTTGGATTGAACAGTGCGCTGTGGAGTTGAAGAAAATATTGGGCAGAAGTAAGCATTTCTGCGGCCTATTTTGCGACCGCAGAACCACTCTGCGGACCGCAGAATGGTCGCAAAGTGGGTCAGTTTTCTGGGCCATTTTGATGAGAAATTTCGCGGCCATTATGCGACCGCATAACCACTTCGCGGGCCGCACTCTTGTTGCATATCCCGCTTTGAGATTTTTCGGAGTGAGGTTCTACGGTACACTATGAGACCGCAGAACAGGTCTGCGGGCCGCATAGTGACCGCAGACCGGGTCAGTCATGCCCAGTTTTGGAGGCCAAATTATGCGGCCGATATGCGGACCACATATCAATTATGCGATCGCAGAACCTGTTCCGGAACTTTATTTTGGGGTTTTTTAAACCCGACCCTATTCCGTTAAAATACACCCCATAGACCATTTTGAGCTTATTTTTGATATTTTTAGAGTGAGAGAGAGAGATTTCTAGAGGGAGAAAGTGATCTTCATAAAAAATTTCTCTTCAATTCTTACTTAAAACCTTAAAGATTATCAAGAGAGGCACCTAGGTCTTCTTCCTAAGAGGTAAGATTCTATCACCCCAAACTCTTAATTTTAAAATGTAACTAGAATGGGCCATTAGTAAGGTAATTTATGGGGATGAGAGTGTTTACCTTGCATGCATGTGTTCCTAAGGTATGTGGGGAGGTTGTGAGTTAAAGATAGAAAAGAATGGGATGTGGGTTGGTGGAGTCTTTCATAAAAAGGGCCATGAAACCTTAATACATACATAATGTTTGATATAATGCTCAAGTGAGCTAGAATTATGAACGTTTTCCTAATTTTGGGTTCAATTTTGCTATATTGCTAAAATAGATTGAAGTTGCTAATATTCCGGAACGTCTTAGAGTTTTAAGAGGCTCAATTGAGATATGTTGGCTAAACCCCTTCTTCTTAGAATTGAATTCCACGGTGTTCATGTAATTAGAGTAAGTCCTTGATCATTATTGAATAGGCTATTCCTAATGTGGTTGTGTTGGAGGATGTATGTTCAATACTTATTCTAAATGCTTCATTATGTCATCTTGTCATTTGAGGATGTGTTCAAAATGTGGAATATGTGTTAGAAATGTTAAGACTTCATGGCAAGATCGAAATAAAGATTGTTATGCCAAATTATGTGAAAAGCCTCTATGTGCCTTGAATTCTAAATTGCTCACATGTGAAATCAAGAGTCTTGAATGAAAATCGTGTTGTTATTGATGATAATAAAAATGTTGGATTGTGGGAAAAGAATTTGAATTATGAAATAGGCCAAGTGCCAAGAACGACTTTATAATTAAAGCCACTTGTGCCAATGTTTTGAAAAGATGGGAATGAAATATGAAGTAAGATGTTTGATTGAAATGGTTGATGTCTCGAATGAGATGGCTTAGCCGATCGGGCCGAGATCGGACTCTCTGTAATAACACGGTGGTATTGTAAATGAAATAGTGAATATGGTTAATGTCTCAAATGAGATGGCTTAGCCGATCGGACCGAGATCGGACTCCGTGTAAGAACACGGTGGTATTGTGGACTGTGGTATATTGGCACTAAAAACCATCCAACCTAATAATACGGGAATTGACTTAAAAAGCTATGTGATCCTTAACTTGATGTTCCAATATTATTTGAAGCTCTTATTGAATTCTTGACTGTTCCTCTTGTATTATTATTCATTATATTGAGATGGTGTTTAGCTATACATACTAGTGCTATTCGACGGTACTAACATCCCTTTTGCCTGGGGCACTGTATATTTAAATGGATGTATGTGGTTACATAGCAGACAATGTTGATTACATATATGTGCTGCATCCTCTTCTCAGCGGACTCGGTGAGCCCCATTTCATTCTGGGGTCATGTCATATATGTTTTGTTTATATTGTTGTAATATTTGAGGTATAGTCAGGGTCTTGTTGCCGGCACTGTATTTACACTCTTTTGTATCTTTAGAGGCTCCGTAGACGCTATGTGGGTTGTATATGGGTGCTAGAAAGATCAAACGGATTATGTTGTATTTTGGATTTTTGTTTCACTAAATCACAAAATGTATGTATTTTGAAACTTAACAGGGAAGTAGCAAAATGAAACGGTTTAGTAATGTCTATATATATGGTCCTTCTACTGTTTAGCTAATAAAAGCATGCCTTCTCTTATCATAAGTGAGTTGGATAGAAAGTATCTAACAGGCTTGCTCGATCGGGCCCACTCGGTTGAGCGCCGGTTGTGCTCCCCGAGGTTGGGGCGTGACAGGTATGTCATCGGTTAGAGTTAATTTTATTCGTGTTATGATATGTTCTATGTGTTACTCTCCTATGCTACGATGAGTTGTGAGACTATGGACTATTTACACACATGATGCGGTTCTGTTAGGGCCTTGTAGTGGAATTCGAGCGAGATGGCTCTTGGGGTGTTGAATGGATGATTGTGCCTTGGTTATAGTCTTCGTGTTTGTGGTATAGTGTGCTATAAGTTTCTCCATGGTTATGGTTATGAACTTTGTGTATTTGTTGTTGATATGCATATGGTTGTTGATTGTGAGCATCATGGCTCGAGGTATTCCATATGGACCGTGTTTGGATTGGGTTACGTATCACAATAGAGTTATGTTGGAATGTGATTCTTTGTGCTTATTTTGTGTATTTTGTTTCTCCTTTGTGTGATGGGTTCATAGAATTGCGCTTTGTGGTAGTATTTGTTGAGCTTGTGAGACGGTTCTCTCATTTGATTCTCCTTTCATTATTGATTATATTCTAGTTGTTGCTTGTTTAGTGCACAAATTGCATGATGTGGCTCTAAGTGTCATTGGTGTGGCATGTCGGTTGAGTAGCTTGCA